TCCGGAGGTGGAGGTCGCGGTAGTGAGTTTATACATTTACCTTTGTCCTTTGGGTTCTCTGTATTGACGGTGCCTGTAGGCTACGGTGGTGGCCAGCACTACTCAGGTGGTGGTCAGTCTTATGGTGGCGGAGGTCGCTCTGGAGGCTACGACCAGCAGCAAGGTGGTGGTGGTGGCAGCGCCCAGGGCGGCTGGTAGACCTACCACTGATCCCCTCACGGCCTGAATTTGCGCACGACATGTCAATGAACAAAACGACAGAATGATCAAGCAGACGGAACGACCAACAAGCAGCAGAAAGGATACGATGTGTGAAATGCTTTGGCCACTTCGGTGTCACGGGATCAGACCAACCTCAGCAAGTGAAATGGGCTGCTATCTTAGACCATCGGAGCGATCCTGGATATTTTCTCTTTTCAGACCTGGAGGTTGCCTGTTAATCGCAGCAATCTATCGCAGAGGCGCAAGCAGGCGTGGAGGAACAAAAAGGTTTCTTTGCATTCGATTTCTTACTTCACCACACTTCACTAGCACAACCAACCTTGCTTGCAACACTTCATCAGCACACCTTCATATTCTCCCCATAGAGCGAACATGGCACGGTTTTCTACTTTGATTCTTCACCTTGGCTCGAAGCTGGAAGCTAGTTACGACACTCGGGGACAAGCGGTTCAACTCCCACGTCCAAAAATTAGCAATCAAAGATAGTGCTCCTGCAAAGGCTTCTCCCAAATCATGACCTCGTAGCTAGTGTTGATGGCGTTCAATCTATCTCTCCCGCTGTGATACTTTCTCCGTCTCCTCACCCGCCCGCCCACTCTCCCCACTCCTGATCCTCTCGACCTCATTTTCCACCGCCTGCGTTTTCAGCTCGCTGTCTTCGCCCTTCCCATCCCCGCCACGACCACCCTGTCCCTTCCCACCCTTCATCAACGCCCTCACCCTTTCCGCCAAATCCCTAACATGCTCATCCACGCTCCCCTCCCCCAACCCCACCAACGCAGCCTCCAGCATGAAGAGATACTCCGCGTTGGCGCCGCTCGGCCCCGCACTCCCCGCTATCACCTCCGCCACCGCCTGCGGCGACTGCCGGCCGAGGAACTGCGGGTTCGACGGCAGTCCGATGTACACGACGCACCCCTCGACCGGCGGCGCGTCGGGTCCGGACGACGGCGCCGGCCAAAAGGTCGTGTGCCGCATCGAATACCCGTTGATCTCCCGCAGGTCGAGGTACGCCCGCACGGCGTCGACGTGGGGGGCCGGGATGCGGTAGCTGGCGCCGTGGACCCGGTCGGGGGGCGCCGCCGCGGACGGTTCGCCGGCCAGGGCGTCGAAGACGGCGCGCTCGATCAGCGTGACGACGCGGCCGGGGGACGAGGGCGTGCCGCGGTGGTCTTCGCTTCAAGGGGGGGTTTTTGGTCAGCGGGTGGTGGTTGCTACTGTAGAGTAGGGCGGCTGGCGGAGGGAGGGGTGGGGGGGTTTTTGGAGAGAGGGGGGGGGGAGGGGATGCGTACCTGGCTTGCCAGAATCGACGGACGTAGCCGGTGATGGAGCCGGGGATGCGGAGGTCTGAGGTTTGGGGGCGGGGTTAGTGGGGCGGTCTTGTCGTTCGCGGTGGGTGCGGTGGTGGATGGGGGGTTTTGTTTTCTTCTTCGAGCGGGCGGGCGGGAGTTTAAAAGGGTGGAGGGAGAACCTTCGTCAGGGGGATATGTTTGGGTGCTGGCGATGCGGTCCACGCTACGAACTAACAGGAAGCGGGGCGAACAGACTCCGGCTTACCGTAATGCGGAGGCGGTTTCCAGATGAGACTTCTACGGTACAAGGGATCAGAGGTCAACTCACGCTGTTCTTGACGGAGGTTGGAATTCCGTCCGGGTTGGAGCTTTCGGCCTCTGGGGGAGACTTACCCGTATCCGAAGAGCCAGAGGTCTCCGTTGGAGTTCGATACTGCTGTCTCGGACATCTTTAGGCGGACTGTCTTTGCGTAGAGTCTTGCGGATGGAGTCCAGCTAGGTGGCCTCTGGACGATAATCGGGTAGCTTTGAAAGTTTGCTCTATTTCCTTCCATCAGGGCAGCTCTCGTGGTCAAGAAATTGGCTCAGCCCTACGGGCTTTAGCCTCAAATTTGTGGGGACATACGTTGACAACGTTCCTAGACATCAGTCCTCGTCTGCAGCGAGACAAGAGGTTCGGCTGGCAAGTCGAAGATGTAGCATCTTGCATGCCAGAGAGGGTCAACGCAAAGTATATGAGCTCGCGTTTCCCACTCTCGCACTCCTGTCTGCGCCTCTTCCTTCTGCACCGTCCGTCTGAAGCTTGCTTCTCGTTTTGTATTCTCAAGGTTCACAATCTCTCAGCATGGTGTATGAGGCTTGGATCCTCTTTGTTAAAAGGATGCTAATACGACAGTATTTGGCCGAGACAGCAATGTCACGCTGCGAGATATATGCGCTCGTACTGAGAGAGGCAGCAAGGGCCGACGGTATGAGACTCATGGTCATGGGCTTGAACGGACATAGTTCAGCCTGGATCTAGTATTTCGTATCTATCGACTGTTACTTTTTCCGGTCTAGTACCGGCTTCTCACGAGATTGACTTGCATAGCGGGGTCTGTTGTGGGGAGGGTTTGGGCGTTGAGGATGAATACAGAATCTCTCTTGGTCTGTGCTTGCGGAGAGGTATCAGCATCTCAATCCTCGAATCGAACATGGAGCGCTTTTCCACATGCTACGACTACCTCCTCAATCTTCTTACCCAAGCACGTCTCTTCCATTAATCACCCTCAACTCCCAAGATTCTCGTCCCCCTCCACCTCCCGTCTCAACGGCGAAACGGCCCTCATCACCGGCATGAATAAACATTGCTGACTCCAAGATCTACACAGGAGGTGCTGACTAGTAGCAGTGCGTTGGCGAAGGGGTGGCCGAACCATAGTGATTATTTGGGCAGTAAGGGGGCCGTAGAGGCGTTTGCAAGATGTCTCGCTGTCGATGAGTCCGCTCCTCTTGTTCTCTTTCTTTTGACTGCTGAGTGTTGTCCTCGGAAATTAATTTCGAGGCTGACAAGAGATATCGCCGCCGGCGGCATCGAAACAACCATGTACGAGGTGGCGAGGAAATCCGACGCGAACTTGATGAGGTATATCGCATTTTCGATGCTCGTGTCAATGCAATCAAGTATCTCAATGATAATATGTGAATCTAGCTTGCGACAAGCTGCTCTGGCTGAATCGCGTTGGGCTGTCGAAGGATGTTTCTTGCGTGGTAGCTTTTGTGTGCAGTCAGGATGGCGAGTGGATGAATGTTCAGGCGCTTATTATGGGGGTTGGGGCTTCTTTGTGAGCGGAGTGGGTTTGGGTTGATTGGACGGATGGAGGGTTTGGAAGGTTGTGACGAGTTCTTTGATGAAGGCATTTGCAATTCCTAATGTACGTGAAAGCCAGTTTGGAGAAAATTTTCTTGAAGTCGATTGCTTGATACGTACAACGACCTTTCAATAGCCTAAGGGACGTCGGCTCTGTGAGGCTTTAGCTCATTGAACGATCCAAATTAGTGCTCCTTCTTGATAACGACAATGGAAAAGTCTGCGGAAAACCCCCTCACAGCGACATCTCACCAGCCGCAATGGCCCGCGCTATACGCTTGATTTCTGCACGGCCAGAAACGCCTCCGGTTTTCAGGCAGGGAGCCTCTGTTGCATTTCCTTCACTGGAAAAAACGATGAAGAAATACTCGAGTGCCATGGCTTCAATCGTGGTAAACATCATGCGCCGTGAGTTGTCGGGATCCCAAAAGGATATCTCGATCATGGACAATTCTTGCAGCACTCCGCCCTGCCGAGTTAGGAATTCCACCCACTGATCCCCATTTAAGCACATATTGGTGAGGGTCAAAGCTTTCAGCTGTGGCCAGATGTGGTCCTTTCCAAACAAAGTGTCCAGATCTGTGATCTGGGTTTCGGCGGAATCGAATGCCAGGTCCAAGCTTCGAAGGCGCTCGGCCGCGCACAGCATCTTCGCTATGTTCCCGTTGGCAAGAGTGGCAGGGAAGTCTGTCCAAGGATCTTTCTCGTGCGTGTTGATCTCCATCTTGAGAGTAGTGAGGTACTTGAAGGCGTTGACTGTGTGCTGTAGCTTTATGGGGTCAATGGCGCGGAGCACGGTGTGGGAGATGCCGCTGCTGTTTCTGTAGCCGTCGGCATCGATCGTGAAAGACTTGAGTTGCTCGTATTGGAGCATTGATGCCACTTGCGTCAGGATCCAGAAGCCACGGTACCATGTTGGAAGATGACTGCCTCTGGGTAATTTGTCTTGGCTGCTGGGCCATGGTCTGGGATCGAGGATCACAGCATCATAACCGAGACGGTTACCGGTATCACGTCTTCTCTGAATCATGAAAGACTTGTCCCTTGGAAAAGCACCAGCTTCGTCAGGAAGACACGTCCACCTTCTGCGCTGATCTTTTACCCATCGTTGATCGGAGATCGTAAAGCGTCGAACGTTTGGCAGAAGCGGAAGGGTTTCTAGGAGGCATCGGAGATCTGTAGCGAAATATTCGAGAAGGGAAGGGATTACGCTCATGTCTTGTATGACTTCAGACAGACCGGTCCGATCAATGCTGGCAAGCCGCTCTGGTAGGTTGCCACGGCCTCTAATCCCTGGTAGGTCTATCCTTTCCATGCCCGTTCTGGTGAAATGCTGGCATTGATAGCTCAGGCTGAGTTCCCGTTGTTCGCTGTAATACTGTTGGAAAACATTGTGACCACGTTTCACTGCCGCTGCGATGTATGTCACCGGTGAGGTATTTCCGAACCGACCATGATGATAGGTTGAATTGGCGAGAGTGTTGCCCGTACCTAAGGCCTGATGTTGATTTCCAGTTAGCATTAATTTTGCAAAAAATCAAGTCGACGGCTAAGACTAGTCTGGGGTGCACAACAAGAGACAAAGTTCGCGATTCCATAGCACAGCCTCAAGTTGTCAGACAAGTCTAGCGAGAAGGTCAGGGAAGATGCCCTTTTCCAGCCTGCAAAACAAGTCTCGCGAGACGGACTGAAGTCCCGAACAGGAAGAAGTCACATAAATGACATACCTTCATATAGTCGGATAGCTTGAAAAGGCTTCCACAATAGACAGTGCTGTCATACGCTATCTCCCGAACGATCAAGCGTGCAGTAGGGTGTTGCGAAATCTCTCTCAGCTTAGTCTGATCCTCCTTAGCTGGTGAGATCCAGACTTTGTCAAGGACAAACGGAGCTAAGGCATCTGCCATGAATCTGCTTGTCAAGCGTGTTGCTTTAATGGTGGCAATGTCCATGAAAGCGACAACAACGTTCAATACTTCAGCAGGGAGGTGAGGGACTGCCGTTGGGTCAAAATCAAACATAGCAACATCGTTCAGGACCACAGGCGCCATTTTTGTCCGAAGCTGTGAAGGCTTGTTAATACGTCCTCTCATGCAAGAGTTTTTGACCTGCTTACCAGCCTCTCGAATGGTCTGTCTCCCTAAAGAGAGGTTCTCATTTGGGACTTGATGATGATGTCGAGAGCTGTCCGATCACCTCAGCAAACTCTACCTCTAGAGACCAAATTGATACTGCTTACCAGGTTGTCAAGCAGTCTGTCTTAGGTGAAGAGACTTCTCTGATGCAAATGTGCCTTTTCCTGCTGTACACAACAACGGCTTTACCGGAACACGGAGGTGTTGATCTTGAAGACAGCCATCACTTCCAAAACCCTTGGAGCTTCGTAGGGCGTAGCGTCTCGGGCGGCTAGCGGCTAATTGTAAGCATAGCATTCACCATTCAGGACAAGGAGAAGATCCTTACACCCTAAGACTTGGGTAGAAACATCCCTGAGAAACAGTCCTTACGATTATATATATTTTTAGGACAAGTACTTTAGCTCCGAAGATTGAGACAATATCGGGTTTGCGATGCAGTATTGCACAACACATCAGCAAGATCGAGGTGAGGTGTGAGATCATTGGGAAGGGCTCTTCGCCCCTCCACAGAACCACAGCTAAACCAGTACAATGCAGCATTTACACATCTTACAATTTGCTGGAAGAGTACTCCTGTGTAATCGTTAGGTTTTGTGGGCAGCAGACACCTGGTTGCCTGACGAGCAAGGCTTGGTGCAGACTCAGGAGCACTGTGCGCGTAGACGAAGGCTCGCGGTAGTTATTACAAAGGGAGACAACAACAGTTTTACCTAGAGAATGCTACTGTATCACTCATGCCTGTTGTGGCAGTATCTTCCACAATTCTTTGTGTGGTAGGGTTGAGAATGCGGTTTTTATAGAGACGCGTCCCGATCGGGACTACTCGTAGCAGCCTTCTATCGCGCGCCTAAGGATTATAAGAGACAGCAAAAGTCATGCACAGGAGAGAATGTCTTTTGCGCATGTTTTTGTGGATATCGATCAAAACAAATCGACTCTTCCTATCAAAGGATCTTCAACATGAATAGATTTTTGGGGAATGTTTACGAAAAATGTCATTTTCTGCTGGCACTGCGCCTGACTTGTACAAATACTACCATTTCCCCTTGCAAACAAAATGACGGGTTCTGAAAAAAGTTCGAGAAAATCGCCACTATTTCCTGGCAACTGTAGGATCTCTACAATTCCATTAAGAGCTTTCACCCTCTATGCATGACTTTTGCTTCACTCTCTTACACCGCGATATGACTCTGCCTGCTGTCTTTGCCTATAGCATTAGCATGTAATGGTATTGCGCGATAATAACCGGCGAAACCTACCCATTGGGCACTGCTGACACTGTTAGGAGTGCAAATCTTGCTTTCATGTTTCATGATGGTAGCCATGACGCAACGACGGGATCTTTCGGGCTTGACTACTCATAGACGTCGCTATCCTCCACTTCCGCTTTTCGCAAATCTCCAGACGAACACTCGAATCCACCTCCAGAATGTCTCGATACTCTCCAATTGCGCCATCCTCCCTCACTGCCGACCAGCATAAAGCTTACGACGAAGGGTCGGAGATCTGTTCGAGCGTATTCGGCGACAAATTCCTCTACAAAAATGAAGATGGTGCCTTTATAGGTCCATTTGCTCCTCTCCTCTTCACACCCACCCTCGTCGATCCATTCTTCAAGCTCGTCGTTGAGCTAGGGAAGCTCCCAGGTCTGCCGAGTTCAGCACGAGAAGTCGCCATTTTAGCGACGGGAAGCAGATTCCAATCCAAATACGAACTGTATGCACATGAACGGGTTGCCGCGCTTTACAAGCCTCACGGCGGCTCAGATCGGAAGTGTGAAGAGTGGGAAGAAGCCTTTTGGAGACAATGCTCTTGATGAGCAAGGAAACGTTGCATTTGACGTGGCTATAGAGCTTTCACATAAGCAGGGTCCGATGACCGATGCTAGTTGGAAGCGGGCAGAGCACGCTTTTGGGAAGGAAGGTACGGCAGCGCTGATACAATATGTTGGTGTGTACGCTTACACTTGCATTCTACTGAACGGGGTGGACGCACCAGTGCCCCAAGGAGAGAGATGCTAGAAATTATATGACATGTGCTCCTTGTTTACAAAATGCATTTTTCCCTCTTCATCGATCTGGTTCTTGATCCTTCTCCACTGTCACAAATATGGATTTGCGACTTGCGCTTCAAGGTGAAGTAATTAGGACGTGCGTAAAGGCTGATCATTCACGAACCCCACCTTCCTGTCTAAGACATTTTCGGCTTTTCCTTTTGGCCCAAGGCTGACCAGCCGCCTGAGAGTCAACAATTGGTAAAAGAAAGGTCTCGACATTGGCATGCCTACGTCGAGCAAAGATCTTTGGGCAGCCGCCCTAGAGAAGTTGACCAAAAGCGATCGCCAACAGCTCGCTTTCTATGACGGCCAAGATAGGCTGGACATCCTTTCAGACCTCCAGGTGCTCGCGCAGAGAGTGCCAAAGAGCAATGCATCAAAAAAAGATGGCAGTTCAGTAGGCGTGGTCGTAATGGTGAGAACATTGTTTTGCGGGATTTTTTCAACAAGATGGTTATCTGGATCAACATGTCCAAACAGATTGGAGATACTGTCGTGCAATATGGCCCTGGACATTCTGCGCTTCCTTGGGCGGGGGTTCGCTTTATCTTACAGGTTGCTTTTGGTGACATTGTCAAGTTTGACTTTGTCGTCAAAGGCGCGGAATCAATCTCACGAAAGATAGGGCGATATGCGATCTTTGAGGACATCTATTTACGTCGTACATCAAAGGCTTCAATAGAGCTTGAAAATGCGCTCGTTCGGTTGTACTCGACGATACTTGTATATCAATCGAAAGCTAGAAGCTTCTTCGATCAGAGCTCGCCGAAAAGCATATTCAGGAGTGTCTTCGTCACGGAAGACGAATTTGCAAGTAATGCCAGAAAAATGGACCTTGAGCAGTCCAATGTGGATCGTTGCGCTGCTATCTTGGATGGAGAGAATCAAAAAAAAATCAGCAACTCTCTCGAGGCACTCTCAGTCGGTCATTCCGAGAGGCATGCAGAGCTTATGCAGCTCCTCCGTACGATAGATGGACCCATAATTCGAATGAGTAGCCAGCTTAATGGTATCGAAGACCATTTGGACAACTCTAAGCGCTACGAGATCTTGCGGTGGATTTCCTCACAGCCTTACCTGGAACATCATGAGCAGATCTCGAAGAATTTTCTTGCTGGTACAGGCAAATGGCTGCTCGAGGATCCAATATACGCAGAATGGCACAAAGGAAGCACATCGTCTCTCCTTTGACTTCACGGGAAAGCCGGCGCGGGAAAAAGCACACTCGTGTCTATTGTAATCGAAGACGCAGTGAGAAGGTTCGAGGCTGGAAACAGCCCACCTCCAGTCTACTTCTATTGCTCCCGAAATGCCGCTGAACCCGAATGATCCGATCCAGCTGCCATACTTTCCAGCATCGTCAGACAACTTTCGTGCGCAGAGCCTGGACTTCCGCTTTTGCCACCAGTCATCGAGAAGTACGAGAGGAAGGTCAAGGGTTCAGCTCTCGGGGTCTTCAAATAGAAGAGAGCTGTGAACTCATTACCAATTTGGTAGAACATTATTGCATGACGACCATTGTCATCGACGCTCTCGACGAATGTGATCCCGAAAAGCGGGAGATGTTCCTAGACGGGATCGAAAGTCTGCTGCAAAAAAATTCGTTTGGGCTAGTGAAAGTGTTTCTATCGAGTCGTGACGACCAAGATATCGTATGCCCGCTTCGGGACTATTCCACATCTTGATCTTGTTTCCAGCAGAAAATCAGGGGATATCGAGGCCTTTGTCAGGGAAGAAACCGACAAACTAATCAAAAAGCAACGTTTGTTGCGCAACAACCATGCCAAGGAGGCACTGAAAGTTTTGATTATTGATGCAGTTAGTAGAGGCATTGATGGCATGTTCAGATGGGCGAGTCTGCAATTGGAAATGCTTTGCACGATGAAGCTAGATCAAGATGTCCCAGCAAGATTGGGGCGACTACCACCCAAACTGGAGCAACTTTACCTGGAGGCCTACGAGAATAATCTGCTGAAGTACCCAGGCGAGATCGGCCAGTCTATCATCAGCAACATAATGAAATGGTTGCTCTGTGCGCAAAGGCAAATGAAATCCTCGGAATTTTGCACTGCTGTAGCAATGTATACTGTTCCCACTGAAGAGCTTACAAAGGAACATGTCCTCGACCTTTGTCATAACTTCGTTGTGTTCGACAACGGTTCGGATGTATTTAGGTTTGCTCATCTTTCGGTGCGAGAGTTCCTCGAGAAGCGAGCTGAGTATATGGCAAATTCGTGTCATCTCCTTGCAGCCGAGACCTGCTTGTTACAATTCATCGGTTCATCAAACTGGTCAGTTGCAGAGGCTTTCCTGCAACAACATTACGCCCTTGATCTTCGTGGGAAGTTGCATCTACTGCGGAATTGTTGGGAGGTTTCCATAATTATGCTACGATTTTCTGGGCCAGACATTGCCGGTTGATCGGAGAGGAAGGGAGGAAAAGCAATTCTCGTTTCGAGGGAGCCTTTCGCTTTTTCCTCTCTGATGCATCTGATGATCTCTCGCCGTTGAACATATGGATACTTTCTAACCAGCGCAGGATACAGGACGGTAATCTTCGGTTTTATCTAGATCCCAGATTCGATTGTAAGCCCGAAGACAGGGTTTATTATGTTGCATGTGCTTACGGATTTTGCGAGATTCTTCGCACGCGTTTGCAAGGGCAACCCCCAAACAACAGGGAGAAAGGCTGGCGTCTAGCGGCTGAACATAACAAAGGCGAGGCGCTCAAGCTACTTCTGAGCAACCGTAGTGAGGATGAAATTTCTTTATATCTGGTGGCTCTAGTGGCACTGAAAATGGACCCTGACACCCTGGACTGGGTACTCCGCGAGAGCAAAATTGAAGTCACAACATAGGCCGACGAGTTGGTCAATTAATGGGAAGAAGGGAAGGAGATAGTGGAAAGATTGATGGCAAGGTATAAACCTTCAGAGGTGTCACAGACCCCTCTCGAGTATGCCACAAGATTCTGTTCCGGAAGCAGATTTGATTCATTACTGCCTCAAACTGAAGATACCGGAATCTCTTGGAACCTGATCCTTGAGCGGGCCGGGCACGAGGGCAATGTGGAGGTCGTGATACTGCTTTTAGATCAAAAAGATCTCCAAATTACCCCCAACATAATGCGAGCAATCGCAATATCGGGCGACGAAAAGGTTATGCAATTGCTGCTTGGTCGAGATGATTCTCGTGAGATAACAAGTGAGATCTTTAACGCTGGTGTTTTGAACCAGAACGAGAAGATTTTGGGTTTGTTGCTTGATCGGGGTGGTTCCGGTAGGATATCGACAGAAGCCATCAACAGAGCGATAGAGAACTGCAATGAAAAGAATTTGGGCTTGCTGCTGGACAACGGGTACCAGATGTCGCAGACCCTTGTCAATAAAGCAGCTGCCGACGGCACCGCGTCAACTTTGCGGCTGCTATTCGATCGAGGTGGTGTAATTACCGGCCCAGTGTTGAGGTGCGCTGCAGGGAACAATCTTGAAGGAGCAAAGATGATGAGCTTGCTCTTAGCCGAGGCCGAAAATTGGATGATCATGGAAGAAATGACAGAAATGATGAAAATCGCTGCACAGTCCGCATTCGAGGCACCGGGTATCATGAAGCGGTTGCTAGAACATGTAGAGGATCTTCTGATCACAGAAGACGTTCTCGTGACCGCAGCAAGAATAGGCCCTAGAGACGAATTGTTCGAATTGTTCTTGGGAAGAGATTGGGAAATGACAGAGGAAGTGCTGGAGGCAATGATGAGCCACCTGGCATCGGAGAAAACGTTGCAGCTCCTACTGGACCGACTCGAAGGTTTGGAGATCACAGGGAAAGTTAAAGTTCTGCTGGCAGCGGCTAGCAACCGTTCATTTGGCGACCAATTAGTGGGACTGCTATTGGACAGAGTGAACCTTCTTGACATTGTGAACCCTCTGCTCGTAGAAGCTGCAGCAAATGACACATTCGGCCTAGAGGTGATTCTGCTGTTACAGCATCGAGTTGGCAAGGTCGACGTCACTCAGGAGGTTATGGAGAGAGCTGCTCGGAAAGGACCGATGTGGACGATGACCTTCATTTCAGATCATACGTCTGCGCCAATCACAGAAACCGTTGTAGTGGGGGCATTGATGAGCGACCGCCTAGAGATGGTGCAGTCCTTGCTGGACAGAGCGATCGACCTCCCTGTCACGAGAACAATGGTCCACGCGGCAGCTCAACACAGTCGTGCCGAGTGCTTGGCTCTCATTTGGCAAAGAGCCTGCAGAGCCGAGGTGACTGAAAATATCTTCAAAGACTTGGCTCAAACAGCGGCAGAGAATGTGGTGTGGCCTGGGAAGAATTTGAGATCCCTCCTCGATGTAGTGAAGGGTATTCTCATTGGTCCAGAGGCCCTATTAAGTATAGTAAGGACAGACTTTGACTCAGTGCCGTTACTCAACTTCTTGACCGATCGCGGCATCAATTCACAAATTACACACGACGTGCTACAAGCAGCAGCAGGAATTTCAGGTACCACAGGTCTTTGATGACATTTTTACTGGAGCGGAGCGACAAGGCCATGTTAAATAACAAGCTTTTCAGGGCGCTGGCCGGTTCTGGATGTGTGTGGGTCCTCCAAGTGCTCTCGCAACACTGTGGTTTGGCAGAGGTACCAAAGAAGTGGCTCGACCTTGCCCGGCTCCATGACACGGTAGACTCCTACCCGGGCGGCTCATTAGATTCTTATGTCAGGCTCACGAGATTCACCGACCTCAAAATCGATCTGGTCAAGGAACTTTTAGCCCAGGGAGTCGAGCCGGACGTCCCAGATGGTAGAGGCCAGACTCCGCTCATGCATGCAGCGGTATTGGGCAACATTTTGACAGTTCAAGCACTGCTGTCTGCCGATGCAAGTCCCAGTTCAAAGGACAGACAAGGAAGAACGCCATTGTTCTTTGCTGCCTTTGGTGGGCACTACGGCATCGTGGAGATCTTGTTGGATCTGGGGGTTTCAATTGATCTCGGAGACACAAAGGGCGACACCCCGACGACGATGGCTACACGGCGTGGACATATGAGAGTGTTCAGACTGCTGGAACGGAGGAGACAGATATAGTGGTCACAGCTTTCAATGAATCCCACTAGACGTCGAGTTCATCCTAGGAAATCTCTGACGACTCGCGTCTCTGACAGTCGTGCTATTTCGTCAACGCATCACTCAAAAGCTCTTGCCGGCCATGCAAGGTGTCAGGAAAGTGGCAGTCGGAGTCCTCCAGTATCGACAAGAGCAGCATCGGCGAGGGTGTTTTCACCATTGTTTAAACCACTTCCTTCATGTACGACAGATCTGTCCGGGTTGATGCCCCGAATCGATGCCAAAACAAGCAGGCGGGTTTCAGCGCCCCCAGCTTTCACTTCTCCTTGGTTAGCATCTCGGAAATATCTGTCTTAACGATTGGGGCTCGCTCCATTAAGCATTGAATTGCGAAGAAACCTCCTTATTGATGCCCATCTTGTCGAAAACCCAAGGATTTATGATATACCGCTTTAACACCTCGCCTGCTGAATTTCCCTGTTAGGCTGATTTTGGGTAACATCCCGGAACACCTGTCGTTTATGATTGAATTCAATTCATATCGAGCATGAAATTGCAACGGAACCTCTTCATTAAGCCTTAAGTAGTCGATATTCCAGGATCCGTACAGCTCGAACTGCTACCTTCTTGGCCCCTCACCTCTGCAAAAGCCGCACTGCATTCAGTGATGCATGAGCAGTGGCGGTAAAAGACAATCGTCACCATGATTAAATGTTCCATACATCCAAGGGCGCTCCTCACTGGCCAATAAACTCAAACCACAGCACCAGGCTTCCACGCCTGCCCAACAACAATCGCTTGCATGGCACCCATACCCCCCACCGACGTCCTGCCCCCCAACGGCGGCAACGGGCTCTGCCCAAGACACTTCCTCAAAACCCCTCTGGGGGCCTCCAACGTGTCACTGATGTCCCGCCACCTCAATCTCTCCGTCTCAAACTCGTCCATGATGTCGATGATGATCTTGCAGGTCCGGAACGATTTCGCGTAAGGAAGGCGCACCTCGGCGTCCGGCCTGCGGCTGAAGGTGTAGGGCGTCGTGGCTGCTTTGTCCGCGGGCAGCAATGTGACGGCGACGAGGCAGTCGGGGTAGTTGGTTTCGAGGAGGGTGGGGGCGCCGGCGTGGTGCGGTTGGATGAAGCAGTTGGTGCTTGCCGTGAGGCTGGTGTTGGTGAGATTGAGCGATGAGACGGTTGGATCGAGGGAAGTGGTGGCGAGGATCTGGGGGTTGAGGAGCTGGAGCGGAGTCGAGGAGGCTAGTGTGGCGAGGGACAGGCAGGAGAGGATGGCGGCGAAGGTCATGGCGTCTGTGGGGCATCAAAGCTGAGTCCGAGGAGCATGAAGCTGAGCTGTGCAGGAGCGTGAGCATTGTTAGTGGAGATTTGCGCCTGCAGTGTCGGTACGGCTTTGCTGTCGTAACGCTGCGCTTGCTGGTTTCAACTTCCTTCTACCCGACTTTGCGCCTCGGTACGCACGTTGCGCATTCGTTCCAGTGTGAGTGTAGAGGTCTGGAGCAACTAGCCGCAGGGATCCTCCATTCAGACGGTAAGTTCTTTGTGTGCAGTACTGTACTCAGGATAAAGTGGTGTCGCAGTGATGCTTGTCTCGGATTAGAATGTATCGAATGTTAGTGTTCAGCCTGAATCGGGAAGTTGCTGAACATTTGGTTTCATGCTGAGCATGCTAAAACAAAAGCTGGTGTCATACATGCAAAATATTCATCTTCCAGCGCCCTGCTCAATGATGAAGTAAAGTTCCGCATGCTGTATCCCCCGAGGCTGTAAATTCTGTGTCATTAGGTTGCAAGCATTCTTGCGCCAGCAATGCATGTCCCAACTCTCTCCATGAGAACTCATTCTGTACCCACGCCCAATCGACGGCCTTGGCTTCAGGTTCCTTGTTTCGCAGAAACCGCCGAAAAGCTGTCCGCCGCACGATGCATCTCCTTGATCACGTCGGCAATATCTGACCCGCCTGGCTTTCCTGAAGCTGGAATTTTGACACGATTTGTGTTCTCGTACGATATGAGAGAGAGAGAGATAGATCGAGCGCTTGCTCTCATCCTCCATATACCATAATGGGCCAATTCGAAGATTTCTACGAGGCCGAACAGCAAATTGAATGTTTGAGATTTCTGGGCCTCTGCTTGAAGTCCGGCGGATACGTTCTCTCCTATCAGCAGTCATGTGCATCATCATCTTTTTACAACGCATAGTACTGATCTCAGCCTAAAGCAATTGATCACGGATGGGTAAAGAGCTCCGCCAGCCCAGAAATGCTGGTGGTGCCTTCGCAGAATTTTCCTGTACAAGATGTAAGCTCTGACGATTCTGATTCCTTTGATTGACCCATATTCGTGCCAAAGGATCTCGACAAGGAGGTTCAGCTTACGTCCTTTCAAATCTAATGATCTGCCGGGCTTGTGATTGAGTTGCTTCACATCGAGATCCATCGACCGTCTTCAAAACACTTTGTGCCCGAGAGCTTCAATTGACCAAAAGGTTCAATCGAGAGTAGGATTCTCGAGAGAAAGCGCTACTAACATATTCAAAGCAGCAGTAATGGTAGACTGGTTTTGGCATAAGGCTCGCACGTATCTTCGATGGCGTTAAATGCTCAACCATGCTCTGCGAAAAGATATATGTAAGGCATGTATGGGACGGACTAATGGTGACTGCTAATTCTGAAATACCGCCCATAGAGCAATTGGTGCCGTTTTCTGTTGTTTCGTGCGAGGTTTGGGGATGAGTAGAGAGTTAGAAAGGGGTATCATTAACTGGCTGGGCTCTATGCCGCTTTTCCAAGCCACCAAAATTCGTCTAAAGAAAAGACGACCGTCCCAGCGCCTGGCTTAATATACTGAACATTACCTCCGGCCGGCCTCTTAGCTCAGCGTTGACGCAATATTTCTATCCTCAAGTGTCAGCGGGTAGTCCGCAAAGACCATAACATTTTCCCACGTTCTGCGAAGCGCAGTTACATACCGGTTAGAAATTCCTCAAAACTCAACGTGATATACCCGTCTCTATCATCATCGTAACGCTTGAACACGTCCGTCATCCTCTTCAGTATTATGCAACTCTGCACAAACAAATCGAAGCTCATGCGATCTTCACCGCTTCTGGCATACGTCGTGTACAGTAGATTGACAAAGGCGGAAGAAAGCCTGTAGCCAAAGGCAACCAGCGCTTTCGAGTACTCATCGAAAGATATGTAGCCGCTATCGTCCTCATCAAAGCGATCGAAAAGGGCGCGCCACGCAGCGAGGAAACCCCAGAGGCCGCTGCCGACATATCAGCTCTGCCCAATAGGATAACCATAAAGGAGCCAAATGTACCAGAACTCCTCAAAACTTATACTGCCATCCTTATCCGCATCAAACATTCGTATCATCATCTTAACCGTATGCGGATCAAAACTCGTAAAATCCCCATTGACCAGAGCCTTCCCCAGCTCCCTCTCCGTCAACTGACCTACCCCCGCGGTATCGACTGCCTTGAAAAGCGGAAAAAGCGACGCGTCGGCGCTGCTACCGCCAGGGGCGGGGGTTCCAGGCGGTCGAGACGGAGGTGGTGGACGTCCATGGTGAGATTGTGGAGGAGGACCGAAGCCGTAATTTTGGGGTGGGGGGTTGATGCGGCGTTTTGGTTGAATTGGGTGTTGTTGTAGGAATTGTTCGGGGAGAGGCGGGGCGGAGGTTGTGTTTGCAGTTGCTGGGCTGGTTTGGGAAGTGGTGGAGGAGGTTTGCTTTGGTATTGTGGTTGCGATTGAGGAAGGTTGTAGGGTTGGGGATTGGAATTTGAGTAGGGGCGTGGTGGTGGTGGATGCAAAGGGTTTGATTGCTTGCGTTGTTGTTGGGAGGAAAGGATTTGGGCTGCCTGTGTCAATGGGGCTTGGGTCAGCCTCGGCACGAGGAGCTGGGGTGAGCGGTATATACCTGTTCTGGCTCTGCGTGTCTGATGTAAGTTTTAGTACTGGACATGACCAGGTAGAGACTCTACTACTCACGCAGGAAGCGCATCTGGATTGTAGCCACTGTTGTAGGCCATTGTAAGAAATCTTGTTCTTTTAGCCAGCCTCAATTAGGGTCTATATCATTTTCATTGAAGGAAAAGTATTTATTCAGAAAGTTCTTAAGAAAGAGAAATCGCGGCCTTCCATTGCGCCTTTGTGGCGCAGTTTTCTACGTTCTGCAACGAAAACATTTCGTCTTCCATCGACATATCCTCACACATGACATAGCTGATTTTGAGTCATCATCTTTACATATTCATGCTGAAAGATTACAATATAAAAATATTAATAAGCATTGTGAGCTGAGAAGAATTACTGATCTTGGCAGGATTACATTTGCACTTTTGGGTATTTATGAACAATTCATCGAGCGCCCAACTTTTCCATTCCGCAGCATCATGCCGATATCATTTCCATACCCAAATCGCTAAACGTGACAATCAAAGGTATCCCAGGTAGCCGCAAAGGATGCACCAGAAATGATGAGGACCCTATTGTGGAACAGACAAAGGCCCGTTTGGTCGACTGTCCATGAACTATTCGAAGTCCATTAGCTTATCGTAGAGACCAATAAAGCGGTAAAGGAGCTAATTTCTTACCGATGAAGCTGCAGAAAGGAAAGCATTCAAACTAGCCTGAAACACATCGTCGTGTATGCCCACACCCCACACCCGTTCCTTACTGCCAGCTGCCGTGCACTCAATATATGTGGCCGCCTGGACGTTCTTATTTTTACCGATGGCATGCTCGTTATAATTTACAACATCCAGATCGATTCCGAGCATGTGCATGGCGTCCGCTAGAGAAGAAAGCGCCCCGTTTCCAAGGCCTGTGATCCTGTGCTCCTTTCGGTCCCAGTCCACCACACCTTCGAATCTTCTCATCGAGTTTTGCGTGTTCTGACTGCGGCCTTCTTCTGGGACGAACGGTACGGAGCGTTCAGGTGCAATGCTGTAGTCGACAAGAGTGAAGCGAGGGGCGCCCTTGAGATGGTAAGTATCTTGGAATAGCGTTTGAATTTCCTTAGCCAGCAATTCTCGCCCAACGGCGTCGGCTCTTTGTTGAACGACTTTCGAAAAGGCAATTTGGAGACCACGGGGAAGGTCGAGTTCCATGAGTCTCTGGATGATCCATGCAACACCGCCTTTCCCACTTTGCGAATTGACACGAATGACAGCTTCGTATGTACGGCCAATGTCCTGAGGGTCGAGGGGGAGGTACGGTATCAGCCATGGATCTCCGTCCTTAAGCCCTTCTCGCGCTTGGAACCCTTTCTTAATCGCGTCTTGGTGTGAGCCACTAAAAGCGCACTGGACGAGCGATCCTCCATACGGAGCACGTGGGTTAACCGGTATGTTGTTGCTCTCTTCCACAACATCAATGACTGAGTCAATGTCAGAAAAATCAACTTTTGGGTGGATTCCCTGAGAATAAAGGTTCAAAGCCAGAGTTACAAGATCGACATTTCCAGTTCTTTCGCCGTTACCAAAAAGAGTTCCTTCTACTCGATTTGCGCCAGCCATCTGTCCAAGTTCAGAAGCTGCAACAGCACAGCCACGGTCATTATGCGCATGCAGGGATACGCAAATCTTATTTCTTTCTGTTATGTGTCGGCAAAAATATTCAATCTGGTCTGCGTAGACATTTGGAGTAGACATTTCGACAGTCGCTGGAAGATTGAAGATGATGGGATTAGATTCGGAAGGTTCCCACGCGGCTCGAACAGCTTCGCAAATCTGCACAACAAAATCGAGGTTCGAATCAGAAAAAGTTTCAGGGGAAAATTCATATTGCCAGTGAGTTTTGGAAGATGGATTGTCTTTCGTTATCGAACGTGCGTATTTGGTACACGCAACAGCCAAAGCGATGCCATCCTGCTCGGAATGATTCAGGACTATCTGCTGAAAACATGGCGAGGTAGCAAGATAAAGATGGAGGATGGCGGTTTTTGTACCCTCGACAGATTCGACGGTCCGTTTTATGAGATCTTCCCGGCCTGGTCTCCGAATTAGTTGAACATGTCCGATTTTTTTAACCTTCGCACGATGAGAGCAACCCACAAGGACTGAGAACTTGTAGAGCTACATCATCCGGTACGACGTCCGGGGTATCCACCAGGCGACGTGTGAACTCATAGTCTGTTTCTGATGCTGATGGGAACGAAACTTCTATTTCCTTGCTAACCCCGTCACATGAGCGCGGAAAGAAGACCACCAGTATTTCCCACGTACTAGCCAAGTTCCACTAGCATCTTGAAGTATCGCCATTTCTGATCCGAACCCTACACCATCATATTTCAGCATTTCCCCCGTCAGACCAATATGCCATGTCCACTCGGGTGTGGTGCCGTTGCTGCGCACACGTACCATAGGGTCAACCAAAGACTGATTGCCATCTCTGAGGTCTGTAGCGAGCCAGCGTGGGGGTCTATCGAGGGTTTGGGAGGGCCATTGACGATTTGGTAAGTCGATGGGCCTGAAAAGTCGGTACTTGGTCGAGGGATCTTTGAGCCTTGAAAATCACGACCGTCAGCAAAGTAGCAACCCGTATCAACGATTCAGGCTCACATGGGCATTGTGACACAAATCTGTAGTATGTAGAAAAGTCAATTCGCCAGAGACTCCGAGGGCGCGCACAAAAAGCGAGGGGATTCGGTTAAATTATGGGGAAATTAATTACTTATCGATAAAAACCAGATCCGATATCGGATGCTCTCGGACGCTATGTGATCCTACAAGCTACTCATCGGCCATGTCATGCTCCAGCTCCTCCGAGTCGAACTTGAACGATTCAACGCTGTATAAAATGAGAAAAGTCCTAGTAACGCGCGGCAAATGGCCGCCTGATATCTGACCTATCTTCTAAGGCGTAGGTCGCTGCTCCTTCCTAGGCGTCAGACTCAATCACCGTATACCTACTTTAGGGAAGACTTTGTGGTTGGTCACTTGCTCCAAGGAATACGTGGCCTCTGTACAGTGGTGGTGTTGCCATTGCTCCTTCATTCTTCTATTCAGTCTCCCGATCACTGTTCTGTGATTCTCCGTCTCAGTGGCTGTTCGTATCTTTGAGATATACATAATTTCCTGCATTTATTTACCACAAGAGCGGGTTGTCTTTGCCAGGGAATCCACCAGCATGAGCCTACTACCCCTCATAGAACCCTCCCTCTACAATTGGCGCCCCTCCACTAAGACACCAAACTTATATCTCCGTCGTGCACTCGGCGCCGAAACAAGATGGGCTCGTCAGGCACCTGGACCGCGGCAAATGTTCTTGAGTGGGAGGTTTACCCTTACTGGTCCCTGCTCCACTTTGTCCCTTGAGTCATTTGGCAATGCGGCGGAGCATGCGTGGTTGAGAGTCCGATGCGAGTTTCCGGAAGTCGTGCTGAGACCTAGTAGTGAGCAAGGAGAAGATGGGAGTATTTTGCTAGAGCTGAAGATTCCAGGGTCTGATGGAGAGGCTAGGGAGTGGATGAGGAGGTCGCTCTTCTTCGGGACTTGTGAAGAGAGTAACAGCGCGGAGGAGGAGATGAGGCAAGCTGTGATTACGCACCCGGTTTGTGTGCGCTTGACTGCAAGAGTAGATCAGGAGGGCAAGGTGGCTGGAGCTGAGTTTGCGTTTCGAGTCGATCATATGACTGCAGATGGTGTTGGGGCATATATCTTGGCGGGATGCTACTTTGAGTTTCTAGCACATGCCGTGAGCGGAAGGGAAGCGACCCTCGATTGGGAAGCATTAAAGGGGAAACTCCCAATGCCGTGGGTGGGCATGATGAACAGTGAACAAAGGACTGAGGGAAAGGAATTCGAAGAGGGTGTGAAGAACCTCACCAATCTGGTGATGGAGGCGAGCGTATGTATCATCCATATCAATGGAAGAGTTTTGAGCCTGACGTATGGGGTGTAGAAGAGCGAATGGGGAATGGAAGTTGTTTCCAGGGACGGATACATGCCGAAAGCTATTCATAAGCGATTCTCGGTCGAAGATAGTGACGCTATATTGCTTGGTGTAAGAAATAAGTTAGGAAAAGCATGCTCTGTCACTCATCTTGGCCACGCGGCCATGGTGATGACGATGCTCAAATTCAAACCAGTCTCAGAAAGGCCGACGCACGGTGATCATTTGGTATCTCCGCTGTTCATCAATGGACGAAGGTATCTTGATCAAGGTGTTCCAGGATCACACAGTCACATCTCCTTGTGCAGAGCTTTTAGTGCGATTGAGTTCCGGGATGTTGAGAGTTACATTCTCTCGGACAACGCCAGCAGGGAAGAAGTCCAGGGGAAGCTGAGATTAGCGTGCGCAGAGGCTTTCAGATCGTATCAAGCGGTCCGGGACCAGAAGTCGGTACTCACTGAATCACTTTCCGTGGCCGAGCATATGGCGAGGGCGAAGTACGCTCAGATTACATCTGATCGAGGCATACCCTACTGACCAGTGCTCCCAGGACCAAGAAAGCCTTCAAAGGCAAATGGACGGCTGATGCTGTAAGTCAACGGGGACTGCGTGTAGGGCCATAAACTGAGGGTTTGGAGACAGTTCTTCTTGAGTGATGGACTCATCGAAACACACATCTCCAACTCATATTGTGACCAGACGCGAACCCATAAGGTCTTGGAAGTCGATGACGTGCAATTTACGGCCAGCCCAGATGGGCCACCATTGTAAGTTTGCGTGAGTTTCAAGCTCTTTCATCATTGACGGGCTCCATGGCAGGGTCATACGTATGAGCACATTCAGACAAGCCATCAATCTGTCAGCCGAATGGAATGGAGCACAGCATGTGGACGAGGATATTCGGAGGTTCTTGGAAAATGTTGCGGAGCTTATGCTGAGCTTGATAAGAGACTAAAGTGCTTGATGTGGTGGATGCAGCCCCCAGTGTCTCTAAAGTCTTGAGGTATGGCGAGCTTCAAAATTTCAATTTTTAGGGATCTGGCGCGCCTTGGTCGTCGGTTCTCTGCGAGTTTCCAAACGCATCTTCATCTTGAAGCGGTCTTTCCCAGTCCCATCGCCAGTGTCCGCGTCAAAGCGCCCCGAGAAGAGTACTCTCTACTAAATCAAGACAAGATTGCAGGAGCAGTGGTGGCAGCAATAAAGCGTCAATATGAGTAAATGGAAAATCGATGATATTATTTTTGGATTTTAGAGACCCTATCCTCGTGACTCGCAAACTCCTCTCAGCATCATCAATCATCCAAGTGGCCGTCACTGCTCCTTCCGCCCTAAATTCCAACTCCTGACCAGATCATCTGCATCGGCTTGATTTATTGACGTTCCATTTTCCCGTCCACGACCGCCTTCCAGTCCGAACCAATGTTCCCTCCATCCAAACACAAACACTCTCCAAGCCAAAGGCGGGATCAACATGCCCGCACATAGCAACGCGGCTCTTTTCGTCAAGCCTCCTCGCCAATCAAGCTTGTCCTGATCACTGGCCCTAAAAGCTTCCCATAGGAAGAGCGGGATAAGACCAAACTCTCCGAGGCCTAATGTCCAGTAGACTTGCTTTCGTTTCCCGACACAATCTTTCGAGTCTGGCAATGCGAGCAGTAGTTGCGGTGTAAGCGCCAGGATGAGGACGCCTGCGCAGCGGGCTATGAACGTCGCAGTCCGGTTGAGCTCAGCGGCTGAGAAGGAAGCATTTGTAGTAAGAGCGGGGCGGAGGGTAGACTCGGGGTAAAATATGAGGGAGATTATGGCAGGGACGTTCACGAGGGCTTCGAAGAAGAAGGCTGTTTGGATTATGGAAGGCATGCTAATTGTAGGGTAGGCTGAGGGACTGCGCAACGAAAATGTATCAAAAAAGCGTGGAAGAACACTTCTTCACCGTAGAAATGGCAGGACAAATGAGATAGTTCGGCTCAATCACTCATATTGAAGTTATATCATGACTCGTCTAGGAGGCTAGAAAGCATCCTGCCAGGCGAACTTCTGAGTACGAATCCTTGCATGGAATAGCATTAGGGCCCCTTCTGCAACCACATATTTTGGAAATAACCCCTACTTATTTCCACTAATTTTCAGCTTAGCGTTAAATATATACAGAGTATCGTTCTATAATCATATTTTCACATATTTTCGCTTATTAAGCGAAAATAGGCTTGAAATATCTGAAAATAACCCTTAAGGGTTATTTTTAATTAAAATAAGACTAAGAATATTAAGAATAGTAGATATCTATAATCGATATTCATATATTATTCTCTTTTACTTTAGATTTAAAGCTAATATCTACTCTCTTATTAAGATAATATTATTATATTATTTTAAGAAATAATATTATTTTTATAGTTTAACTTTAAATTATAGATAATAAGATATTAATATTAATAGATATTATAGAAGTAAATTTATTTAGAATAATAATAGAAGTAATAGAAATATTAATAATAGTTAAAGTTTATATAGTAGTAATAATAGATATCTCGACTATAATAATGTGAAATAATAGGAATTCAATGATTTTTTACGGAGAAGATAATTTTTACGATGATTTTAACTTAGTCTTAGAAATAGGATTATAGAACGGAATCGTATATATATTCTACTTATTTTAGAAATATTCTAGACTTAATTTTTAAGCCTTATTTTTACTAGCTAAGTAATAGCGTTATTTAGTAAAAATATATAGAGGTTATTTTCAAAATATATGATTGTAGAAGAGACTCTAAGTTATAAGAGCCTCTTCTATAATTATATATTTTAAAAATAACCTTTACTTATTTCTATTAAATAACGCTACTACTTAACTAATAAAAATAAGGCTTAAAAATAACACTATAAATATTTTCAAAATAAGTAGAATATATATACGATTCCGTTCTATAATCCTATTTCTAAGACTAAGTTAAAATCGTCGTAAAAATTATCTTCTTTATAAAAAACTATTAAATTTCTATTATTTTATATTATTATAGTCGAGATATCTACTACTACTACTATATAGACTTTAATTATTATTAATACTTCTATTACTTCTATTATTATCTTAAATAAACCTACTCTTATAATATCTATCGATATCGATATCTTATTATCTATAATTTAAAGCTAGACTATAGAAATAATATTATATCTCGAAATAATATAATAATATTATCTTAGAAAGAGAGTAGATATAGGCTTTAAATCTGAAGTAAAAGAGAATAATATATGAATATCGGTTATAGATATCCACTATTCTTGATGTTCTTAGCCTTATTTTAGCTGAAAACAACCCTCAAGGGTTATTTTTAGATATTTCCGAGCCTGTTTTCGCTTAATAAGCGAAAATATGTAAAAATATGATTATAGAACGATATCCTATATATATTTGACGCTAAGCTGAAAATTAGTGGAAATAAGTAGGGGTTATTTCCAAAATATGTGGTTGCAGAAGGGGCCCTAAGGTAGACGCCTAATTCCCGGCGTCTGCTCGCTTGAATTAGAACGACATTCGTTCTCTTTTCCCCTCACTAAGTATTGTATAGATAAGAGCTAGCAGTTCGCTGTTCAGATTTCAAGTAATTGTGTGTCTCGGCTAGGATATTTGGAGCTTGCTTTAAAGGTCAACCAGCACTGGTGGCACGATGTCCGCTGCCAGAACGGCGGTCAGGCGAGCTCTGCTGTATGGTATGCTCTTGTAATCACAATGAAGTCTATATATAGAGGCTCAACAATTTCTCAGTCCCTGGATCATCGCAGAAGATGCTCGATAAGTCTCGAGGGCTTACCGCCGACTGTGTGGCCTATGACCTCGAAGACTCTGTTACCATCAATAGGAAGGCCGAAGCGAGGTCCAACATCCGGAACTTCCTTGAGCAGCCTCGTGCAGATGGTATCAAAGAGTGCGCTGTTCGAATCAATGCTGTTGGGACTGGTCACGAGGCCGATGACATCGAAGCAGTGGTATGGCAGCTCAGTAGTCTATCAACACTTCAGCAATTGACGGACCTCAGTGTAATGCGCCATATCTTGACACCCTTGTCATCCCGAAAGTGAATTCCAGCTCCGATTTGAAATGGGCTGCTGACTTCATCAACCACAAGCGAACATTCACTGGTCCTGAGGAGTCTTCACCTCGTCAGATCAAAATTCTTGCTCTTATCGAGTCTGCCAAAGCGATTTCCAATTTACGTGAGATTTGCGAGACGGCTGCTCAACTTGATGGTCTCATCTTCGCTGCTGAAGACTTTGCCCTGGATCTTTCGTTGACTCGCACGCCTTCCCTGACTGAATTCCTGTATGCGAGGTCTGCTATCGCTACTGCTTGTCGTGCGCATGATTTGCCCTCTACCATCGATCTTGTGTGCACCTCTTACAAGGGCGAGGAAGGCAGCAGGGTGATGGAAGAGGAGTGCTTCGGAGGCAAGGGCCTGGGCTTCAATGGCAAACAGTGCATTCATCCCGACCAGGTCGCGATCGCGCAGAAGGCCTTTGCTCCGAGTGAAGACGAAGTGGCGTGGGCTGCGAGGGTAGTGATCGCGGACGCGAAAGCCGATGAGCAGGGGAGAGGCGCGTGGACGCTGGATGGCAAGATGATCGATGCACCCGTCGTTGGGAAAGCTAAAAGACTTGTCAGCAAAGCTGAAGCTTGTGGCTTCGATGTCAGTGCCGTGAAAGAGAAATGGAAGGGTCAAGAGCCAGAGTGAGGTGGTTTTCCTCCGTCGGTCTTACCATCAAGAGGCAGCGTGCAACAGCGAGGACAGTCAGCTTGTGCGACCCAATCAGTCGTCATGGATATCATCGACGCTGACCTCGGACCATGATCGAGTTGTGGAAGCTCTGGTGGCCCTGAGGATCGGTTGTGTTGTGATTGCGGACTGCGCCGCTATGCACGGATGAAGGTACGAATGCGTCGGCATATCCTGTGTCAAGTATTTTGCTAATTTATTCTAGGAATATATATTATAATAGGGAGAATCTCTAAAGCATGATTAGCAGAACAAATTGGTTGGGGTTAACGGCGGTACATGAAACCTAACGGCTTGGCGTGTATCGTTACTGATCTTAGGAGAAAGTAGCTTTGCATTCCCTTGAGTACGGTGGATTTGGAAAGCGACCCGGCTTCGGCCTGAATACATACAAAGCCTCAATCAAGCTTACATTATTTTTTGCGATTTTTTTGGATCCATACTACAGTGTCAAGACGGGAGGAAAGGCGAAGGGACAAGAAGGTACTGTATTTTTCCGTACCACGCTAACCCCTTTTCCGACCACACAGTTCGAGGACATCCAGCCAACACTTTTACCCTCACTCCATGTAGGAGCGATGACTGCCGCAGAAGAAGACGGCTTGCCATACAGATCTGTACGCTATTTTTGCCAATTTTTCAGAGCTCTGGGGAACACTTTGAAGGGGATGGGAGCTTCTCTGCTGCGCTGGCTGCGAATCTTGCCTAAGCGAGCCCTCCGCTCAGAGAGTTCGAGGACAGCACCCACCACCAAGAGAAAGCTGGTTGGCTGTCGGCAAGTCAGCCTGGCCATCTCTCGGTCTTCTCCCCGTTTTTGCAAACTTACGGGGCTGCAGAGATGGACTTGAAAGGGGAAAAGACCTTTTTGCCTGCGCTAGCGCCAAGTTCTGCCAAGCCCCCCTTTCTCCGCCCGATATCAAAAAGCCGAAGACACTGTAATAGAGGCTCTGTCTTTCCAAGTCAGAAGCTTGCCTTGAGGTCGTACTGTTCTACGCTCTACTTAAGACTTTCTTAGGTGTTCGGGAGATTTTCGTTTGGGCTGCGTCGTCCCCAAACCTTCCAAATGGCGTACTTCGCAGCTCTTCTCCCCCAATATCCATACACGCAGTACAGAATGACCTCTTCTGGGCCATGTTACTGCTATCAAAACCTACGGATCTCACCCTCCAAGCTGGGGCGCTGTTTCCCCAAAATCCAAAAAAGGGGCTCGAAATCAGATTCGAACTGTTTATTGGCCATTGGTTGCACATGCCATCTCCAGGATTCCCAAAGAGCATAACGAGTCTCACCCAGCCCCAAACACCATTCCAGGTGAGAAGAGGTGAAAGTGAAATTTGGATCTTTCAGAATGAAGGCCTACTTGGTAGACTTGAGCTTCTACTTTCCTTCTTTTCATGTGCTTTGTACTCTCCTTTGGTCTCAAATCCCGTCTTTCTCTCTTCTTCTCTTTCTCTTTTCCGAGACAGCTGCGACCGCAAGCTCAGCGAGCCCCTATCCAATCCGTCTGGGCGCTACCTCCAGTCCTCATCCCGTGACTCCCTCCACGTTTAATCTATGCTACTACCTCTCATACCGCTGGGTGTGTCGGGCAACTCCCCGGCGTCATCGCTGACAGGTGTGACAGAGCACTGCGTTCCGTGAAAGCCTCCCTACGGATTGCAGAGCGCGGAGCCTACAAATACATCCACGACTAATCCTGCAGCATCTCGTCCCCATTCGGATCCTGTTCGCGAGAAGTCCTGTCGGTAGTGCCAGACCACTACAAGAGCAGCGGAGGCCCACTTTTCTCGGGATCCTAGCTCGCTGGAAGCAGGAGCGGCTTTGACTTCGGCTCTGCTCCATCTGCTAGACAAATGCCTTGAAAGGGACCGCCTGGAGCGCGTGCTCGCGGGCTGGGATGATGGCTCGTTGGGGAAATTCTTACCATCGAGGGACTCAAAGCTGGACAGGTGAGGTGGAGATGGTGCAAGGAGCAACGGAGGCAGCGGCTTTGACGGGGAGGCTGCAGTGCATGGTTAAGTGGAGAGGTGGGGATGAAGACGGAGACGTAGGCGAAGAAGATAGATGGATGAAGGAGATTTTGAACGACTGGAATCCTTGTACGGACACGAGACTGTTCTGCGCCGGCGCTGAATCTTCGGGTGTCCCGCCTGGAGCAGCGATGATCTGACGGCCGTCGAGGAATGGGTGCCCAGACGCGTGCTTATGGCCCTCAAATATTTTGGACAAGCTGGAGCTCGAGAGAGTGTATATGTATTGGAGCTTGGGTTTGTGGATGAGGATGGGCGAGATGCGTTGGTGCAATCAAGGTACCTTGTTTCTATTGTATGTGTATGTAACGGCTACGATTATACTGTCTTGTTGGGGCTTGTAGCCATCGATTCCGTAACTTTTCGAAGGGCCTCTCCCTAAGACTTGGTAGCTATGGGTACGTCTGTTTAGAGCTCTGCTGGACCGTGACCCTGCAGTCCCCCTATAGGCGGGGTGGCAAACGTCCCGTCTCCTCAGCATTCTGTCGGGTACGTGTGCCCAGAAGTTGTCCAAAGCCCTGAATCACTCTTTTTGAATCTGTGGCGCAGGATAACCATCTTCAATTCTCACCGGCGGCAGTTCTTCAGCGTTCTGCAGGGGGTAAGTACTCCGACCTTGCTGCTCTTGTTGTCTTTGGATCAGCTGTGAGCCCTTAAAAAGTTTTTGTACGCCCCGAATCATCTATCTTGATGCTATTGTGGAGGTTCACCCGGTTCAATCATCCCCAACAGCCACCCAAGCTGATAAGGGATCCGCCCAAAGTTCTTGACTTCCAATCTTCCCCTCCTCATCAAATTCACTCAGCACATAGACAAAGTCTTCTTCCCAGTCCTTCCCCGTCTTGACACTTGCAAATTTCGCACGTAACTTTATCGTCACGGTCCCTCCCTCAGCATCCACCATGAATTCTTCCTTTGGCGGTACGGTATTCTCATATGGATGGAAGGACAATGTAGAGGTCAGACGGTCGTAGTAGTCATCGCAGGTTCTGCGGGATGTGGCAGTTGAGGAGCCTTGAGAGCGACGTCCGTGGAATTTGATGCCCAGGAATGGGAGACGTAGGTTTGCCCACTTCGGGCCATGCTCGAGAATCTTAGGGTTGGATGTGAAGTATTTGTCAAGTGTTTCGGATGGAGGAGAGCCGGTTGTGAAGGCTTTGCAGAAGGAGTAGGCTGTTGATCGCATGAGCTCTCCTTTCGCTTTATAGTCGGGCATGTTCGGAAGGAAAGATTGCTTCTGTGAGATCTGTCTCCAAGCTGCAAGCTATGTTTTCTTATTACGAGAACATCTATCAAAGCTTTCCCATGCTATCAATCGGGTATCACGGTTCCCACTGAGTAAGGAATCCTTGTCAGAGCTCGACTAGTCTCTGTCGTCGTCAGCTTCGGTCTTCGGTCTCTAGACTCTATCTTAGGCAGACTTCGGATCCGGATAGAGGAACTCCGCTCGATGGGTACGAATACGTGAAAATACTGGGTAATCAGGGGTAGCTTACTTGAGTGAGCGGGACTAGCATTTATGGATAGCATCCCTTTGGAGTGTCGCAAAATCGCAAAGGCCAATAAATAATGACAAGTGGCTCCCCGAGAAAGGTCAGTGTAATTGTGGTAGTGAACAGTTGAAAAGGATCGACGTTCGAGACGTGGACGATAGAAGAAAAGCTAAGCATCTGCTGCACTTCTGACTTGCTGGATGACGACTTGCTCCTTTGCCAATTTGAGTCTAGCACCAGATTGAATTCCCTGCTCTGACAAGATGCAGATTTGAACTCTCCACTCACCACATCGACAACTAAACCCTAAACCTACACTCACTCACTGTCGTTTACTTGTACCTTCTTTGTCTTCAATCGTTCAATTGGTCCGTCCTTTGGCCTCTTGGAGGTGTAAGCTGATTGCATATTGGCCTTCAGCCTCGACAATTCAAGCATCCGACTTATTCCGCCCCCCAAGCCTTCCGCTGGAGCTCCCTCCTCAACACCAAAAGTTTGGAATTTAAAAGTATTTGGGAGCTCGACAGCTCTGTGAAGCAACACCATGGGTCGTTCAAGAGGTAAGACAATTACCCGACGAAGCGGGTGCCACGTGAGCTGCCTTTTTCGTGTGCTAAAACCCCTTGCATAGTTTTATCCTTCATGTCAGCTTTTGGCGCACCGAAATCACCAACGTCGACCTCGTTTTCTGGCCCACAGAACCCCCCTCAACAGCAAGATATCAAAGAGAAGATCACCAATTCCGCATCTCCTCAGCATGTAGCGGCACCGGCGAGAGATTCACCGCCTCCCAGGACACGCGAGCGGTCATCGTCCATCAGACCCATGTCAATGGTGCAAACCTATCAACCCCCCGTCATGGAGATTGCTCAGGATACGATACCGGAGCTTCAACCCATCTTCAGCTTTCTCAACAGCCACTCCAATAAATTATACCAAGAAGGATACTTCCTAAAGCTCAATGACCTGGATTCAAGTGCGTCGATCTTTTCATCCTTCTCACATTGTTTCGCTGACACAACTCGCAGACGGGCGACCAAATCATGACAGATCATGGACGGAGTGCTTCGCTCAACTCGTTGGCACCATTTTGTCTTTGTGGGATGCCTCCGCACTGGACGCCGCCGGCCAAGATGGAGAAGTTGCACCTACTTTCATCAACCTCGCGGACGCCTCAATCAAGATGGTTCGTCCTTTGCTCAGCTTGGCATCTCTTGCGTTTGGCTAATCCTCTATCCATAGATTGAAACCCTTCCTACTCGATCTCAAGAGGTCCAGCCTCTACAAAATGTCCTCAGCCTTTCGACCGCAGGAAAAAATCGGTACCTGTTCCACTTTAATTCTCTACACTCTCTTACGCAGTGGACTGCTGCTATCAGGCTAGCCATGTACGAAAACTCTACACTCCAGGAAGCTTACACGGGCTCTTTGATCGCTGGCAAGGGGAAGCTCCTCAACAACATCAAGGTCATCATGGATAGGATGAGGATCCAAAACGAAGATTGGACAAGAGTGAGATTCGGAGCCGGCACACCCTGGAGACGCTGCTGGTGCGTGATATCACCTCCTAGTGAGAAAGACGTGCAAAAGCAACAGAAGCAACTGAAGAAGAAGTCCGCATACGAGCGTGCCCCCGTCCTCAAAGGCAATATCAAATTCTACGATACTAGAAAGACCAAGAAAGCGCAGCCCATTGCAACTATCAGTGATGCGTACTCAGCATACGCCATTTATCCGCAGTCCAAACCCCTCATCGATCAGTCAACCCTGGTCAAAATAGAGGGCTCGATTACCATCCATTCTACACCGGAAACAACGACTGATGGATTCGTGTTCGTCATGCCAGAAACTCATCCTGCCGTTTCCGGGTTTGAAATGATGCTAAGATACCTTTTCCCTGTCTACGATGTCTTTGCGTTGTACGGACGTCCGAATAGATTGACTGCAGACACCCTTGACACACGCAGCTTGATGTTCGCTTTGCCACAGGAGAGGCGATATGGATACTTGGAGATCTTAGACGTGGCCGGTTTGATCCATGAGACTGGCAGTCAATCTTGGACAGAACGAGACTGGAGACAGAAGATGAAAGATCTTACCTCGCAGCGTATGACAAGAATGGCGTCGAACGGCCGGCCCAGGAGCAGGGCAAGCAGCTACCGAGGCTACAGAAACAGCGTCGCTTCGCGTGCTGGTACTCTTCGCTACGAAGACGGCGCGTCGATCAAGTCAACGCCTTCTTTACGCAACGAGTCTGCTCCCGCGCCTCCACAGCATCTTGATCGAGCCAACTCAGAACCGCCAGCGGATCAGCCATTCACTCCTCCTCGGCCCAGGGCACAACACCAGCGGTCTTTCTCCGAAGCCACCCCTCAGTCTACGCCTCCTCGCCAAAGATCCCAGAAGTATGTTCAGGAACAAAATTATACACCTTCTCGCTTATCACACGAGCAATCTAGACCCTCTTTTGAAGCTACTCCTCCTCGTGCAGACTCGTATGAACAAATGGCTCCACCGCCTCCTTCTCATGGCGTTCCCATTGGCATGGCAGCCCGCAACCCTCAAATGCAAAGATATGCCAACGAATCCGGACGAAGCAGCTCAGAGAGTGAACGGCGGTTTGCTGGCGTCAATGGTGGCCGTAGGGAAACAGATCCGCAGGAAATACGCCAAGAGATGCGTCCTGCTCCACCACCCTCCCTGGTTGCAGCTCCCCCAGCTTTCTCTCATGAACCTGGCGCTAAGCCTCAAAAGAGGCCTGGCTTGAATGCAGAGCTACGGCGTGCCAACAGCCGGCTGTCCGTCACGACACTATCTCAATTGGCTGACGCAGGGAACGCCGGTACTACTGGAACCGCTGCAGCAGGCGCGGCAGCTGCGTGGAAAAGCAACTCGCAGAGGAGTATGAGTGGGACGTCTTTGGAGGACCAGGGACAACGTGGGGTAAACCTTAACGCAAGCAACAATCGGAGCACTGCTGACCGTTCCTCTCCTGCTGAAGGCATGGTAATAGCGAAAACCCGATATTCTCCCCCAAACCGTGAAGGTTCCCCAGACACTTCATTCGCCTCGTCTCAGTCGGATAATCAAAACGCTCCATACTACAAGGACAAGCCCTTAATGTCTTCATATGACCTTTTGTCACCACCAAATCCTTCTTCGCGCGCTACTTCACCTTTATCACAGCCTTCTATGTCTTCTTCACCACTCTTTCAGCCAGCAAATGGCGTTAGGACTGCTCGGAAGTCCTCTCTCAGCAACCAATCACCGGCAGCTTCATCCTCGAATCCCGTCTTCGGCATCCAGAAACCGCCTCCCTTCCCAATGACCCCTCAACAACGCCCCGAGGCCCAACGATCAAAGTCCAGTATTTCTAGGAAACCTGTTCCAGATAAATCACCGTCTCCGACCAAAGAACCGCCTGCGCGAGTTGATTCCGTCCCACCCACCGCAAAGTCAAGCCTCGACAGTTTGCACAGCCGCTACATCGATGAAGAAGCGCTTGCTCAAGTACTTGAGCGACAGCGTCTGCAGTCTCTCACAAGTGAGAGTAATGCTGGTTTCGTAGACGATGCCAGCGTTTACGACAACGAATCAACAGTGTCGCCAGACTACGCCAGTACTCGCAGATCTACAGAGACGAAGAGATCACGGCCATCGGTCGAAAAACCTCGAAGAGGTGTGCTGAAAACTGTAGGCACTGTCGAGCCTGTACAGCAAGAGGTTCAAGTTGGAGATATTCACTACAGACCTGGCGCGACTCCTGAGCCGCTGAATCCTGAGATTCCAACGGTCGATTTTGGACCCACGCAAGCGTACAATCCGAGGACCAGCAGCAGACCCAATACTAGTGGATCACTGGCCCAGCAATTAAATGATAGTCCAGATTCCAGAGGTAGGTTCACACCCAGCCCTCGGAACGAAGAGCCAGCAGAAGCACAGCCCTCGTCAGTGGTCTACCCAGCTGGACAGCAAAACGAGTCCTACGAGCGAGCGCCTAGTCGAAACATCATCACTCCTGAGCCTCAAATACGATCTCCTTCGGCAGCCGATGGCATTGACAATCGTAGAAGCGTTGCGTGGCAGCCGGGAGCTCAGATTGGTGGAAGTCCAGGTGCCAGACAGTCTATCACGCCAGAACAATTCGTACAACAGCGAGCAACTGCGAATCGTGTAATGACACCTGTCTATGCACATGCTCGCAAACATTCAGGCCCTTCTACTCCGCCAGCGGTGCCGAGGAACACGTCGGGAGAGTGGCCAATTCAACAACAGAAAAGGCAGTCTTCGTATGGCAACGATTTACCTGCCCGACCTAGTTCTCGTGCCGCAACTGCGGTGATGAACAATTCTAGCGATTATGCAGCACACCTCTCAGCGAGGGAGCAGGAACATGTCGCCCGGGTCACGAATTCCCCTCTTATCAACATGGCTGGCAACACCAACAAGAACCTACCTCAAGGTGGTGGGTTAGTAGGGGCAATCGAGGCGCGTGAAAAGGAAAAAAGGGAGATCAAGCAAGGTCTGAGCGGCCAAATGGTCCAACAAGCCATTCACCAGCGCCAACAACATAGCCAAGGTCAGCAGCAGAGGCAACCATCGCAACAATCCTTCTCTACGCCCACCCCTCAATTTTCTATGCCTGGGCAATTTCCTTCTTCTCCTGGTCAACCTCCTACCCCTGGGGTGGCGCAGCAGCAGTATGGCTGGGGCACACCGCAACAACAGCAGCAGTACGCTTCGTACCAACAATACCCGCAGATGCAGTCTCAACAATGGACACCACCGGCAATTCAGCAGTACTGGGGACAGCAGCCAAGTTCACCGTATCAGCAGCAGCAGCAGCCGCCTTCGCCGTTCCAACAGCAGCATGGGCCGTTCCCCGTGCAACCTAGTTTTCAGCAACAACAAGGTCAATATGGTCAGGCTCAGCAGCAGCAGCAATATGGCCCGTACTTTGGTAATGGGCAAAGTGGTCGTCAATGAGTTTTGGGTGGGTGAGGTTTTCGGTTTGCATAACCTGGATGCACAGTCTCATTGCATTAATGTTGTTGCATAAGCTTCAGGCAGCACGTACAGGCGGATATTGTGCAAAAGCTTCGAATTATTCTTGTTTCAATTGAACATGGTAGGGGCATGTGTACAAATATAGAAGCGCGTCATGAAAATAATGTTTCAATACCGGCATGATCATATCGTTTGTAGGAGCAACAAGCGTTTCAAGCCTACGAGCAAAGAGGTTTCCATTGGGGCGAAGCCATCCCACTGAATCCTAACTCTGAATGGGAAGTGATGTCGCCTTTCTAAGCAATCAGCCACCTATCTAACTCCGGACCCATCTATAACCACTATTCTCCCGCTTCCGCCCCTCTACAGCGCACGAGTGAATAGTGCTACCCATTCAGTTTTCGTCCTTCCGCAGCCTCAAGCTCCCGAACCTCCTCCTCAATTTCCCGGCCCCGCTCGAGCTCCGACGAACTCCCTGCTCCCAATCCGCGTACTTCTGCCCATCACTCACGGGCCTCGACTGGCCTTCGACGCTCATCGGTCGCCGTTGGGTGGCGGGCGTGGTCATTTCGATGGCGTTGTTGCCGTCGGACACGTGTCGGGAGTGAAGTTTGTGTTGCTTGAGGGCTTTTTCGAGCGAGTAGGAGGGCTCGCCTTTGCCTTTGAGGTCTTCGGGAAGATATTGCTGGTGAGTGTGTTAGTATTGGATGGGAGATGTGTTGCTGATGGGGGAGGGGGGCCGCACCACGCCAGGCCACCGCTTGTAGGCTCCGCCTTCGGGAGAGTTTTCGATCATCATGTCTGTGCCTTCTTCGTAATCGTATACATTGCCGTATCGGTCTTCCTTCCCGGGAGGCACCATCGCCACACCGTCCAGCGGGCGATGCTTCTCAACGCTGTCTCTGATCATTTCCCGAGGAGTCGCCCTTAAAGCTTCTTCGTTCGTTGTGCTGACGGCCTCGACTGGGCTATTCACAGAGGAGATGTTTCGAGCCAGTAGCGTAGCTTCGTAAGGTCCGTCGTGGTGAAAGCCGCCCACAGTATCCATACGATCGATGGTGTCTGACCCGACTATGTGCTTCTTCCGAAGATGCGGGTGGCGGTTTGCCATTTTAGCATCCTGTTTGATCATGTCGAGGGGGCGATGGCTTTGATCGCCGGGAAAGCGCTGACTGAGGGAGCTGCCGCGGCGGCGGCGGTGGCCATCGGTGGTCGTCGAATTTTGGCCCCCTGTCGAAGTCGGGATTTGCGTCGAGGCTTGGTCTATGCTTTGACGTTTGGACGTGGGGGAGTAAGATCCATCGAAATCAGGGAAAGCTTCCTGGCGGTATGTGGAAGTGGAGAAGCGGTCTCTCCGTGGGCTAGCGGATTGCGGCGGCGATGGATAGCCGGTTGAAGTGGCGTTGCGGTAGGGATTGTTGCTTGAGCGATTGGAGACGGATGGGGTGGGCTTCTGGGAGGACGATGGGTTGGTTGAGCGGACAGAGACGGACGGAGGCGTCTTTTGAAGTCTTTGAGAGGATGACGGTTCGCTTGACCGGACGGAGGATGAAGGTGTCTTCTGAGGCTCGGTATGAGAGCTACGAGACGAGCGGTCCTGGGTTTGCGGGGCGAATGTGGAATTGTAGTGCGTTCCTGGGCCCGTTTCTGCGCTGGGCTCTGGACCATTGAGGGGATCAAGAAGGTAGCGGCTTGCCTGAGAGTTGTCAGTTCATGGGTGGTTTGGGAGAAGGCCAATTGAGGCTGCCTAATGCATACCCAGTGCTTATCTTCCGAGTTTTCCATGTTGGTGTTTAGCGAAGGATAGAGAGTCTATGTTAATTTACTTTAGGTCACCTGGTTTATATGATAGGTAGTATTAATAAATGATTCAATGGTGATTTGTTAGAAGCTGTGAGGGAAGTGTTTTATTTATGACTTCTAGTTATTCACAAGGTCAGGGGTCTGCCGAGCGTTCCTCTTTCTTTTCCTCGGACCGATGTTTCCTAGGATATAGAGTGAGGTAATGTAGGTACGCATGCTCGCATCTGCCACGCGGAGCATCGGCTTAGGAAGCAGTCCACGTCACTGGCTTGACGCTAAAAGTAAAGAACACTAAGAACGGCAGGTTAACCTTTTGCATCATCAACGACATGCAATACATAATATCAATTCTTGAAGCCATGCCTCTTGTCCAGTACTCCGATAGCGAAAGCTCAAGCTCGGATAGTCCTCAACCGGATCAGACCCACAGTAAAAGCCAAACCTCCCAAGGAATCAAAAGAAAGCATAGTCCAACTTCACATTCAATTCTTCCA